CAGCGTTATATAATTGACGCCGCGCCGGCCGCGCCAACCACGACTCCGACTCCGACTCGGAACCGTGCAGAGCTGATTCCCACCGCGACTAGGAAGAGGCATTGATACTGGGGCCGACGAAGACTTGGCTTTGAACTGAGGGTCACATCTGAAATCAAATGCGATGGAGTATATTTCAGTTGCGACAGCTTGTAACGGACATGCCATGTCGGCTACATACGAGCCTGCCAGGGGTCTCTGCCCGAGTGAAAAAGATCGCTCAAACTCACCGGCATTGAAAGTTGACCCGACACTGAGCCCGCATCACGCCAAAACGCTGGGGCAATGGAAATGCGTGAACAGGCCTTCTTTTCATCGCAACTAAAGGCTGTTCTAATACAATCAGCAGTTAGTCAATATACGTATATGTCTGAAAAGACCCATTATAGTTCTGGCGCATGTGTGACGCCATTTCGACGCAAACAAAAACTTTCAACCATTTCAGCGAATTCAACCATTTTTGTTCGGGGATCACCGCTGCCCCGGTCGGAACCCGCCTGCTGGTGTCGGTGACATCAGCACCGGCTGCAGGCCGCAGCGCCGCCCCTGTTCCCAGCGCGGCCCGCTGTCCGCCGCTGGCCGCCGCCGCGCCGGCCGGTCCCGGGCCCAGCAGACGGGACGGCATCGGCGGCGGCCGGCGGCGGCTCACGCGCGCCGCCGTCACCTCAGCGGCGCACGTGCAGGAACGCCGGCCGCCTCCGACTGGCGGCTCGCAGCCGCGCCGAACACTCACTGCCGCCGGCCGATTGGCGTTCAGCCAATCAACGGCACGGCAATAATCGCACGACCATTAGCATAGCCCTGAGGGAGCGTTCATAAATGCCAGCGTCGGGAAATGCAGGACGGCGCAGTGCGGTTCAACTTTTTTTCTCATGGCACCGGTGCGATGAAGGACCCCACCCGATAACATTCTGGGCTTTTGAAAGAATTTTGCGTCAGGGAAATGGAATAGTAACAGGAAAACAAATACGAAACTTAATCTCATAAATGCTGCTATTTATAGGGCCCCGTTTGACAAGCACAACCGTACGTTAACTGCAGATCATTTGAATGAGTACCAACAAAAAAGGCTGCGATTATTGCTCCCACAGCAATCAAACATGACATCACAAACCACATTTCGAATCCGCCCACTACAAAGAGTGGAGCACATCGGACATACAAGAGCAAGGTTCCGGCCGCCCCTGCCCCAATATGCTCAAACCAAGAGCTTAACAACTTAATCGATGAAGTCAGCCTCCCCGCCGCCGTGGCAGCAATGAAGCTCACTTGAGTGGCTGAGTTGAGAGCTTCCTGGGCAGACGCTCAATCGCCTGAAAGGGCTGACGCACCATCCCGTAGCACACCGTCGGTTGACTGGTGGCGGCCATGTCTCCCACCGCCTCTCACCACTCTCCACGAGGGACACGCGGACACCCGCCACCGCCCGCGCCGCCCGCGGACCGGGCCGCTCGCGACTCCAGCAGCCCCCGGCGCACCGTCCGCCTCAGCGCACCCGGCAACCAGACCACCGCCACTCGCCAACTCGCCAACGCCAAAGTGGATCACAGCGCCCGGTGCGGCAAGTTAAAAGCCGCGGGCCGGGCCGCTCCGGCTCCCACGGGGCCGGCAACTCGCCGAATTCCTCCAGCGGACCGCAGCGCGCCGTCGGCTAGCCACCGCGTGCCGGCCGTGTGCGCAGTCCGGCCGGCCCGCTCGCTCGCGAACCACTGCGGATCGCGCGGCGGCGGAGGCCGCCGTCCGCCGTCCGCCGGCAGCGGCGCGCCGCCACAATGGGCGTCCCCCGCGCGGCGTGGCAGCTGCCGGCGCCGCCGCTGGCCGCGGCCGTGTGCCGGCCGGCTGGCCGGCGGCGCGCGCCACCACCTGGCCCGGCCTGTCCGCACGCCGCTGGCGGGATCGGGCTGCCCTGTCGTCGGTCACCAGTCTGGCAGAGGGTCGCGACGCCGCACAGTCGACCGCGGTGCGGGCTCGGCCTCGGTCGTCCTATGCGGTACGTCTAGCGGAGACATTGAAGAGGGGCCAGACAGCAGGTACCCACGGCGATGGCGGCACCCGCAGCCACCGACAGCGCAACAGTGCTCGAGTCAGTTAAAAGCTGACTCAGCTAGCCGAATTGAATTAACACCACTGTTGTGTCCGTCTCTAAACGCATCTTCAAACAGAGCCAAAGCCGACCCGGTCCTTGTGTAACACTGACCCATATCGCACTGACCCAGGAGCGACCGCCACATACGGAGCACCGTCGGCGGCGACCTGGGGCAGCTCTGATCCCGATATGGCACCGTCCTTCCCGTCGCAGCGCCGTCTCGTGCCGCCCTGGGCCACTGCCGCCGCCGCTCGTCACGCCGCGACAGCGCGCACACGCCGAATACAAACCACCCGGACTCTCCTCTGACGGCGAACAATCCCGACAAAAAAGGTCAGATGGACGCGACGGTCGAGGCCCGACAGCCGGTTCTCGGAGGCCCCTGACGTGACCAAAACAGCGGATATGCGTCCGTGCCGTCGCTGCGATCCGCGCGTGATAAACGATGCCTACATTTGTTACCCAACGAGATACGCCAGATTACGAACGGCCGCTGATATGATTTTGCATTTCGGCGCTCCGCCAGCCAAGGCCGGGAGCCGATCAAAAGGCTCGGATACAAAGGCGCCGGCGGCGACGGCTGTTCCAGCACGGTAGGCGACAGCGCCGCACCACCGCCAGCTGGCCGGGCCCGGACCACAGGGGCGGTGACGACCGTGCCGGCCGGCTGCACCCGCCACCGACCGGGTCAGGGGGGGGGGGGGGGGGCAGCGGCCGACGCACGGGCTCGGCCGCTGCCCGACCCCACCTCGCTACCGCACGGCAGTCCGGCGGCAGGGGGACGAGGGGATCCGGCAGGGTCGACAGGGGCCCCCGACAGAGTTCGACGGGGGGCCGACGGCGGACGGGCGGCCACGTCTCGTGGAGGCGGCGCGTGCCGGCGGCTATCCTCAATCGCCAGCCTATTAGCGGCCGTTCACAGCCTCCACACAATAGAGATTCCCGTCGGCCGGAAGGGCCCGATTTCCCAGGCAGCGGCGCGCCCGTTCCGGACGAGCTCCCGCACAGGGTGGTGTTAGGCTGAGCCGGCCCCATGCGCGGCCACCGTCAGCCGAACTGCAGCCGGCCTCATGACGTCAAACTGCAGCTTTCACACGCTTTTAATCGCGCCATGTAACCCCATGAGCCCGAAACAGCGCAGTTCAACATAGCTCTCATAATAAAATTAATGACAATGAGCGGCGGTGCAACTGCAAACCAGCTTCGCCCAACATACTTACACGCCGCGATTACAAGAGCGTCTAAGTCCCTGCAGCGTCGCTGTCAGCGCCCGGCTACACCGCAGCAGCCGCCGGCCGGCAGGCCTATCAGCTGCACGGCAGGGGAGCGCACTCCAGCTCAGCTATGCGAGCGCTCCACCTATCCGAGCCGACGGCCCCAACCGGCGCCGGCATCCGCTGTCGCTGCCGCCGCATTGTCAGCAGTGACGCACGTCTGAGGGGCACGCCGGTGGGAGGGGGCTGGCGGCCGCCGCCGCGCCGCAGACCGCCCGAGCACGTGACGCCGGGCCGCGGCCGTCCTGCTGGGGGTAAGCGGCGGCGCTGCGTGCCGAGGCTGGGCGCTGCGGAGGTTCGGTGCGCGCCGTCGGTCACAGATCGATCCGGTGCCGCCCCGGGGATTCAGCACCTTCAGCTCCGCTCGCGCAGAGCGCTCTATTCAGAACCGTTCGCCGCGGCCATCAACCGACGTCATCAACCGCCGGCCGGCGAATGAACTGGGATGATGAAATTCTAGCCCATTCGCATTAAAATATATATTTATCCTGCTTTCCTTTCACTGACGGTGACTTGACACCAAGGTTCGGCGTTCTGATTCAACTTGCTGCCAACGCAGTCCCCACGTATGGGTTCAGTCTGCCCAGATCCTTGAACGAGGCGCTGCTGCGGCATTTTAAATTCAAGGTTCAAATTTTTACATTCGAATTGACGTGAGACAAAAGCGATAGCGGAAAAGCTCCATCATTGCTCAATTACACAAAAACCTAGCCTCTTGCTATTATCCTCCCCCACAGCCCTGCAAAAATACACTATGCAACAGGCTCCGAGAGACATGTCACCACACAGCGGTCATGCACCGAACGAAGCTGCGGCCCGATATCAACGAGCTATGCTCGCACGTGGTCAGCGCCCTCTCCACATGAACGGCCCGCCCGTCCCAGCCTATCCCCGGTCACTCTCGGATAACGGGCGCAGCTGGAGCGCACCCCCCCCCCCCCTCCCGAGCCAGTCAAAGCCACGCACGCGGGACCCCACAGGACCCTTCACAAGAACACCTGCAAACGGAGAGCGGCCCGTCGCGGCAGACGGACGCCGCGTGACGCCCGAGCGGAGAAGAAACACGGACACTGTTCCAGGAACGGACCTTGTGCTTAGCTGCAAGATTCAGCATTAAAATAGCACCCAATCCCCCATGCGTCCGGTTAGCAGGCCCAAGAATGCAACGCTGCCGGTACATATACTTACATGCCTTTTCATGCCCGCACCGACATAAATCCACCTTCACCTCCGCACATCTGCTCTAAGCCGGCGGCATCCCGAGTCGCATGGCAACGCCGCTTGATACACGGACCGCGCGCCACCCGTTAATCGGCTTTCGGGCGTCAGCGCCACGTGGCGGGCGGCGATCGGCGTCGCGCCCCGCCCTCGACAGCGCCCCCCGCTTCAGCCGGCCGATCGTGATCCCCACACTCCAGCTGCTCCGGACGCCACCGTTCGTCCTGACCGAGCCATAAATGCCGCCCGGCACATCCGGTCACACGCACAGGCGCCCGCCCGCCCCTGCGCCATCTCTGGCCACGCGGCCAAACCGTCAGTTCTCCCAGCGGCCGCCAGGGCGGCGATGCGTCGCTGTTTCGGTAAAAAGCAAATGTCCTTACCTTGCGACGTTCTCGGTGCTGACAGCGCGGGGTGTGGATATGTCGTACGGCTCGTTGTATCCGTAAGACGAGTCCAGCGGCACTGAAGACGCAGAAATCGAATTAATTGGCACAGGAGAGACGGCTGACATGGCATCTGAACGTACAAGTTTCTGACCTAAAATAAATGCGGAAAACGCGAGAGAGAGAGAGAGAGAGAGAGAGAGAGAGAGAGGAGAGAGAGAGAGAGAGAGAGAGAGAGAGGATAGAGAGAGAGAGAGAGAGGAGAGAGAGAGAGAGAGAGGCGAGGAGGGAGAGAGAGAGAGAGAGAGAGAGAGAGAGAGAGAGAGAGAGAGGAGAGAGAGAGAGAGAGAGAGGAGAAGAGAGAGAGAGAGAGGAGAGAGAGAGAGAGAGAGGAGAA